AAAGTGCATCTAGATTGACCACGGACTCTTTTCCGCAAAAAGTGCTTTTGCGGAAAAGCCCCCTGCCAATCTAGATGCGCTTTTCTGAAAATGCTTTTAACAGAAAATTTTTCCATTAAAACTATTTCCGGAAAATCATTTCAGTGTAGACGTAGCCACAATGATTAAGGCTAGGTCTACACTGCAGTTATAAGTCAGAAAAAGAAACACAATTTGCAGTATGCAAATTGCGTTATCTTTTTCTGCTTTACTGTTGAAAAAGACTTTTCTGATATTTGGCATGTCTACATGGCGCCATATTTTGGAAAAAAGTGTTCTTTTGACCCAACCCTTATTCCTTGTAAAACAAAGTTTACAGTGATGATGAAAGGGGGAGTCTGCTTTTTTTGAAAATTTTGAAAGCAGTGCAGTCTAGACGTAGCCTCAGTTTGGCATCTCTTAGCTCTCTGCGTAGGACCCTTTTCTTCTCATTGTGACTGTTTAGTTGCTAAGCTATTAGCAGGTGGTCTCTTCAATGATTTTTTAAATTGTTTTGTTATGCTGTGGGTAGGCCCAGAGCACTTTGGCATGGGGATGTATTATTCAATAAAATGAATAATTGGTTTATGCAAGTAAATGCGTTTTGAACCTGCTCTCCAGTTCATTGGTCCCCAACGCGGTGCCTGCGGGCGCCATGGCACCCGCCGGGGCATTTGTGTGTGCCCGCCTAGTCAGGGTCACGATGTGGGATGGCCGGGGGAGGACAGGCCGCATGCGCTGTGGGGCCGAACTCGCACCATGACGGGGCGTGGGGAAGCGCCGGCGGCAGAAGAACCTGCCAGGGAGCATGGTGGGGAAGCCGCGGGAGCAAGGCGGCCAGTCCGGGGCGGCAAAATGGCCGCAGTGGGGGGTCTGGCGCTGGTGAAGGCACACTTGGTATGGGGCCAGCCGGCCAGGCGGCACTGTGGGATGACGTCACCCACCGGTGTGGTGCCCGCCACACACAAAGGTTGGGGACCACTGTAGTTTAACAAACGGTAGAAAGGGTTGGGAAGAATATTGTAGTGACTGGTGTTTGCTTCTTCTTACAGGTCCCCCTGGCTTGTCTAATGAAAAAGCTTTTTGGTGGTAATTTTGGCAACATCCTCGTGTGGATCAGTCTGGTCCTGGGTCCTCCCCTCATGGTGCTCTTGTATTTTCATGACTATTACATCCAGCACCATCGGCGGGATTCAAGCTGGAGGCTGTTTTTTTTCTAATCGGCCCCAGTCCTAGTTCCCTAGCACTCTGGCTGTATGTGCGACAGAGGCACCAATGGAGCCAACCTTTTCTTTAAGATGGGAGGGATGGCCAGGCCTGCAATGCTCCATCCGGCCAGGAGGCTGGAGATGGAGTGTTGCATGCTGGTCTCCCCCCATACTGAAGAGGCAGGAGTGCAGAACTTTGTGGGCCACGTGTGTTTGTTTACTTTGCCCCCCTCTGGCCCCTTTGTCTCGTCAATGGAAAGTTGCTCGTTGGCTCCTGAAGGACTTGACTTGAGAAATATCTGCACAAGGTCCCACCACAGCTCTGGAGATAAATATACTTTGTACTGTCTCTCTGTTCCTATTAAAATACTGCTGTTTCTGGTAACATCCTGCCTGGGAAATGAATGTAAGAATCCGGTAAAACCTAAGACTGTTTCCTCGCTTTTTGCGTCCAGTGATTTAAAGGGAAGAGTTGAAGTAATGAGGCAATAATGTCAATTGAACAAAAGGGGCCCCCGTGGCTAGATACATGGGAAAGTGAAGCCAAGACATTTTTGTTTGCAGCAGGAAACACTGAAGTTTATTAACATCATTCTCTCTCTTTTATCCCACGTGACTGCTCCAGAGCAGGTATAATTATTTTGGGCTTAGCTTGGTCACTCTCACTTGTACAAACACTTCCCTAGCTCCTCAGATGGGCCCAGGAAACTCGGAGGGACTGCTTGCAGGATGCTGTTCGACTCAGTGAAATGAGGGTGGCAGCTTTGGGCCCAGTGTATGCAGTAGCGGAGTGGCATTGCTAATGAATGACTAGTTTCTGAGTGCTTTCTCATTGCCATAATCAGCCCAACGGTTGCTCCCGCCACTGTATTCTCTTGACAAAGGAGTTGTCTGTTGCTCTTTGGAGGCAGTGAGGTGGGTGGAGCTAGAAAGCTGCCATTTGGCAAGGAAGTAGCCCTGAGGCCAGCAAGGGGCCTGGCGGTGTTCTGGAGAATCCCTTTGAATGTGGCATGGGTGGAGGCTTTGAGCAGTGGATGGTTTTACCCAGACATGTTTAACAAACATCACCTGACACACTATAGGGAGTTAGTTTTCACAGACATGCCCATGGCTCTACAATGCAATAAACCATCCCTACTCAGGAAAGCACGTAACTGAACTTTACAACTTGTACTTGTTTAAGTACTTCCCTGAATGAGGCAGGACTAGTCTGACCCTGCTTGGCTTCATTCATGGTATTCCTTGCTGCACTGTGTAGTAAGGCCACCGTTTTATACCTGTGTGTCGACAGGCACCTGAATCCGGGTGTGTTTATCATTCTGCTTATTACCGTCGCGCCTGGACCTTCCAGTTGTGGACCAACACCCCATCATGCTGGGTACTGCTGTATACACAGCACAAAAAGACAGCCCCAGCCCTAAGGGGTGTACAGTCTACAGCAAGAGCAGCAGCTGGCCGCAGGCAGGAGAGCACAAGGAAACAGAGACAGCATTGATTGGCATGATGGGCTGGGGTCTTAGCACAACAGCAGGCTACATGAGCCTACTTTGGCACCTAAATTAGCAGCTTGATTTTCAGGCATCCATTGCCAACAGTCAGATTCCTTCAATTAGGTTTGCTTGAACTGTACATTTTTGGGGCAGGGAGTTAGTTTCTCCAAAACACAGTGCCGGGTGAGGACAGCCAGCCCGGTCCGTTGTGCTGGGAGAGAGATGTTCGGGGAACAGGACACTCCGTGAACAGTGAGGATGAAGAGGGTTTCTTGGAAAGCCGTGATTACAATCAGTGCATTTATTTCTAACCAGTGTAACACTAAATATAGTGACCCTCTTCCGCCGGAGACAGTCAGTGAGCTGGGAGGGGTGGGAAGCCACAGAGCTGGGGTACTGCATGCAGCCTTCCTCTTGGCTTCTGTTTGAAGAAGTTATTTAAACGGAAAGTCTCGCCACTTCCTTGCTCGCTGGGCACTGTCCCGCTGTGTCCTGGATGGGGTGGGAGTCTGAAGCAGTGACAGTCCAGAAGTGTTTAAGACGGTGTTTCTCACCATGCCGCTTCCCACGGCTCCTCTTGGCGGGAAATGGTGAACCAGGGTCAATGGGAGCCGTGAGGCTCCGTGGTTACGGACTCTTGAGGTAAACCAAGTGATGTGGGTCTGCTAGCAGCTTTCCCAGCGCGGGTCCGGGCCCGCTGTGAGAAACACAGTGCAGAGGTTGGGAACTTTGCTGTCTCCCGTACGTCACTCTGCAGTCCTGTTACACAGGTTTTTGTAAGGACTCTAGATGTGTAAAAAGAACCATTTGTACATTTCACGCACTTCCACGGAGAGGTTAAAATATACAGGGTCTGACCTTCAGAGGGGCTGAACCTCAGTAGCTCCCATCAACTTCTGTACCACCACAAATCAGGCCCAGGAAAGGGCCCTTGGCAGGGAGGAAGGGGGGCAGCTAGAAGCAGTTAAAGGCCAAGGAGGGCCCATTATTTATCTTGACCCCTCGCCTTCTGCAAGGAGAGTTTAGAGGGTCCAGCTGCTCTATCGTTATTGATGCTGATGATTATTTCTCTCTCCACTGTGACTAGCTTTTGTTCTCTGGCCCTTTTTCCTCTTCCTGTCCTCTTTTCTCCTAGGAAAGGCGGGTCTTGTACAGCCGTTTCAGAGCCACACAGAACACCCAGAGGAAAGGAGCAGCGGAGGAAAGGAGCAGCAGGCAAAATAGCAGATGGGTTTGCCGTCTAGGGAGGTTTTTAAAGAGGGGCACTTGTGTAAATCAACAACATATCAACTGTCCTGAACTATATCTGCACTTGCTGCAAGGCATTGGCAACGCCTGGCCGCACCACTTCTTCATTACAAGGTCGCTCTGTGTCACGAAGATGAATGCCAGCCTCTCCGCATGACTGACGTCCTCCCGGTGTACGTTTTCTACTGGGAGAAACGCGTCAATCAACAGGGACACGCTGGGAATTTTGTGCAGCCTTCCTGTCCTTGCACTCCAGTCATCCATGAACTAATGTGCATTCTCCACGGGACTTCCATGTCTGCCATGTCTCTCCTTGTGTATTCGGAGCAAAAATAAACCGCTCCATCATGGGGCTAGATGCTTCAGGAGTTGGGGGAGGGGGGTGAGAGATGGAACCTTTCACATCTGGGACACAGCCCCCAGCAGTAGTAACTGAAAGTTGGTATCTTCTTGTGGCTGGCCATGTGGAATAAGGCTGTGGCCTCAAGCTAGTACCTGGTGTAAACTTGTCCACATCACAAACCGTCACTGCAGTCAGCAGAGGACTAAGGAACTAAGGGCATGAAGGGAGCTGTCAATCAGGTCACAGCCTACTTTGGTTGAATCTTCACAGCCACTCCCTGTATTGGACTCCGTCTGTGGAGAGAGCGCAAAGATCCCCAAGTCCTTTTAGGAATGCTAAACAAAAACCTTGTCCATCGGCCATGAGCAAAAGACCCAAGTGACTTTATAACAGTTCCTGCCCTCGTTTACATTGTGGCTAGAGTCAGAAAACCCCTACTCGAAAGCTTTTTTCGGATCGCGGTGGGCAGGAAATTCTTCTGGAAACTGCAGGGATCCTGCTGCTTTTGGTTGTGTTCATCTTAAATAAGTACGTTTGAAGTGAGGAAGTTGCTAGTCCGTGGCTTCCCTGCAGGCCGAATGCTTCCGTCTGGACAGCTTGCTGAAAGTCACTGAGCAGCATGTGAAATTCACACTTTTCCACCCCTGTGCATGGAGGCATTTCTGCAGAGCACCCAGCCAAGACTTCAGGGCTGTCTCAGAAGGGGCTGTATCTGCCCTTAAAGGTCACCAGGGAGCACTGCATTTTGCTTCAACTACCCCAGACTAACACGGCTACATTTCTATCACCAGGGAGCACTGTTTTTCTAGGCCAGCAATGAGAGGGCTCTGATTTTAATCGGGAGTCTCAGAGCAGTTCATTTAAAAGGCAGGGCACAGGTGTACCACTCTGCACAACAAGGAGACTGAGCTCTGGGAAATAAGAAGAGAACCAGATTTCAAATGTCTCATTTGGGTTTGTTAATAGGTTTTTGTCCTATCAGAGATGGTGAGTAAAAACAGCTGCATGAATTTTGCTAGGTGGAAAACCCAAGCGACAGCATCCTGGAAGCCAATTGGAGTTGGTCCAGACTGTGCACTTTTTGCTGTGTGAGTGGTTTTCCCGGACCAATAGATTTTCATAGGGTAGTTCCTATTTAATTGTTAGATCTTTCCTGACTCTCAGAATGAGCCCGACACACGAGAAAGCACAAGGGAGCATTCAGCCGAGCGGGTCACTTGATTGGATGATCGCGCTGACCCTTGAATCTGAATAGAGATGGCTTGGTGCCGGGGGTTGGCTTTCAGAACTGCAGCCTGTTCCATTCCAGCTTCAGTAGGATGACAGGCGGAAGCAGACCCCAGGCCTGTCTGTATATAGGACATATGCTGGTTTAACTAAAGCAGGGTTTTGAACTCCTTAATTCACAGGCTACGTCACTGCCAAAAAAGTGTGTTCCTACTACAACAAGATAGCTGACCCCGCCTTAGCCGTCTCCCTGCTAAGTCGTAGCGTGGATAAGGCAGAAAGAATTTGTATGGTGATGGAGGTAGGTGGGACATGGGAGAGGTTGACCTCACCTAGTTACAGCAAGATACGAATTGTTTGCGTCTTGTCTCTGCTAGCTAGGATTTTACAGCAGGACGAGCAGTGAAAGTAACTTAACATTTCTTACAGGTGCTATTCTTACCCTATTGCACTCGGGTCTCTGCCAGCTCTTAAATAGCTCCCTGCTGGCTTTTGCCGCAGCTCAGCCAGCTCTTGCAGGAGCTGTGCACCAGGGCACACCTGCTTCCTGTCACCTCTGGCAGGATGGCTAGTGCAGGCTAACTGTGTTGCGTAAATATTCACCTTTTTTGGCAGTGGAGACATCGCCATAGATTTTTAAGGCTGGAAAGGGGCATTATGATCATCTGCTCTGACCTCCGGTATAACTTCTTAGGCCACAGAATCATATTAAGGGGTCCGTGCATCAGGACCATATCTTGTGGCAGGATCAGAGCACAGCTTTTTGAAAGAGATGTCCCATTTTGATTTAAAGATCCCAAGTCATGGAGAATCCATTACCCCTCTGGGTAGGTTGTTACAGTGGCTGAAAAGAAGATTGTCCAAAATATTAATGACCACACAACTTTTAATGCAAGCTCAATTCTACTGGTTCAAAATCACTCCTGACGTGGTATCACCCTGCTTACGGACAAACCCAGACTTGCACTAGTCTCACTCGTGGGGCGTTTTTTAAGTTGGTATAGTTAAATCGGTGCCGGTTCGTATGCTGCAATTAACACTCATTCTGGAGTTACAGGAAGGGGAGTGTATTTAACTTTAGCTTGAGACACTAAAAACCATCAAATGAAGCTGAACTGCAAGAAGCCATGCTTGGGAGCGGCCACAGAGAGTTTTGCTGTGGCTTAAAAAGCAATTGAAATTAAAGTGGTGCAACTTCTGTGCATCACCAAGGGCACAGGCCTTGGGCCAAACACTGGTCACTTAATTCTCAGTCATGTTGGTGCAAAACTGGAATCACTCCAGTGCCTTCAGGAGAACAACTCCACCAGTCGAGCCGAGCCTCCCTAAAAACAGCCTCTCACACTGTGACCGGCCCCTTTAAAGGAAGAGGATCCCAGCCCTGCCTGTAACTGATCGGCTGACTCCTAAATGCAGCTGTGGTGGGTAGGAATCAGGTGATACCTTGAAGAACATCTGGGCCTTATAAAGGTCAATGAGCGCTCAGCTGAACCAGAGTCCTGTGGGTTGCTGGAGCAGAGAATCGATTCCAGCTAGTGAGTGACCTCCAGGCACTTGACCTTGTGGCTGAGAACTGCAGAGAGTAGCAAGGGCCCTCCAAGTGCCCGGGGCTCCAGGCAAGATCTGGAGGGGCTAAGAGAAGTGACGGGAAAGTCTCAGTGGGACAAAGGATCTGCTTGATTTGGGTCTTGTGCTTGAGCTGGCCCAGCAATGATCCTGCCCTTGGTGGTGAGGCTGCTTAGCACATGTGAGAGAGCTGCTCTGTGCTTTGCATCGACTCTGCAGGAGACGCTGTCCCTGTCAACGCGCAGCCACGAGATGAAAACGGCTCCGTTCAGTTGGGTGGCCTGCCGTCCCAGCTGCTGCTCGCGAGACAGCAGCCCCTCCCTCGCACCCCAAGGCAGTCTCTGCAGTGACAAAGCATCTCGCCAGGCTCCTCAGCTGAACCGGGCCTCTGGCTGGGCTTCCATAGAAGCAGCAAAGGGCATTTCAAAGAGGCATCTCCTGAGGCTTGGGAAATGCTGAGCGGCTGAGCCGCCCATAAGGGCACACAGAGGTGCTGCTCCCTGATTCCCCTGCCATAGACATGCCATAAATGTTCCAGTTTAATAAACACTTTCCTGCTAAACAAGGTGTGGCCGGGCTGGGCGCTGTCTGTTGGGAGTGAAGGAAGGCCCCTTCCACCCCCACGTCGCGGGCTGGCTGCACGTTGCAAAGGGTCGCTGGATACTGGTCTCTGAAGGGGGGGATTGTAGCTAGTGCTAAGCTGAGCAGAATTGTGTGGAGATCTGCACACTGCCTGGCCCTGGAGCCAAGCCCAGACTCCTCGCCAAGCCACCCTGGGCTCCAGGCGCTGCCCAGTGAGTGTTCCACAAGCCTCCATGGCTGGAGATGCCCTGGCAACAGTGACCTAACAGGGGCTGATTATGCAGCATCAGAACCCTGCCAGGGCATACAGGGCCCTGCCCCGTGGCTGGGCCCAGAGCAACAAGCGCTTCCAGATGCACGGCCTGGGAAGCCGGTGACGAGCCTCTGAACGGTGTCCAGCAGCAGCGGCAGAGGCGCACGCTGAGCGCAGGGCGCATGCTGGCAGCGGGGGAAAGCGGGGGATGGACGGGGCTGGGGGGCAGTCTGTTCCATGCTGGGCAGCTGGGGCTCATGCTAGCCTGTGGCAAGGATAACCCAAGGATCTTGGTAAGTGGCTGGAGAGGGAAGGCTGGGGTTTTGGAGGCCCGGTGGGACAGGCCTTCGCAGGAGTCTGGCCGGGGTGAAGAAGGGGGGAGAGGAATTGATCCAGAGCCAAGATGAAGAAGATGACCCAGAGCCGGGATGGAGAATCCACTGGCGTGAGGCAGACCAAGAGGCCCTGCCTCGTCTGGGGGACCCTGCCAGTGGGGCCAGGCTGGCGCTGCGTGGCCCGAGGTGCCTCGCTGAGCCGCAGTGAGGCAGCAGGGTGGACGTCCGGGTGAGCCGAGGCCCAGTGGGAACGGAGGTGGGGCTGCAGTGGCTCCTGGGAGAGAACGCCGTTTCCAACGCGGCCTGGGGGCAAAGAGAAGCCCAGGCCTCGCACATTGTACCTTGCCGGAGCAAATGCCAACAGCCCCTCCATGGCGTGGCTGAGCCATGGTGTGCCGGGGGGGGAGAGTTCTCTGGCCTGGGGGCCCGTGCGTAATGTCTCTCTCTCTTTGCCAGGGCAGCAGGACGAGAGGCCTGGTGCTGCTCTGCCTGTGCATGTCGCACTCCCCAGCAGCGGGTGAGTGAAGTTGTGGCTAGGAGAGGCGTGGCGCCCATTTCACTGGTGCCTTCAGGCTGTTCCCAGTGGCCACAGAGCTCGGGCCCCTCTCGACTCAGCCCCAAGGGGGGCCGGCAGGTGGGCAGCTGGGTCTCACGGGAAGGCAGGCGCTGCCCGAAGGGGCGGCCCAGATGTCGGGAGGCAGCAGCCGTAGCCGCTCCCTAGCGCAGGAGCTGAGGGGCGAGGGCAGGAGGGGAGGGGGATTCGCAGAGGAAAAGCAGAGCTGGGACGGTGGGAATAGCCTGGGAAGCACAGCTCTGCTAGGTCCCGAGGGACGGTGCCCTATTTGCTGCCAGTGCTCGCTCACCTCACGCCCAGTCAGGTGTGTGCAGGCCGCAAGCGCAACTGCTGGAAAGTGCTTCCCGCAGCCGCTCCCTCGGGTCGGTTGCAGAGGCCCTGGCGCGGCACCTTCATGGTGCTTAGTGTGGCTCTGCCGGCTTGCGCCCACCCTCGGCTCCTTCTCACCCCCCCACTGGCTGCCGGCCTGCGAGTGGCTGGTCGCCATCACATCAGCCAGGCACCTGTCAAAGTTAAAGGCCCCAACCTCTGGCCCACCCTGCCTGGTTTTCCACAGCTCCTGCCTCCCGGCCTTTCCTCTCAAGGCGGTGTCACGATTCCACACTAGACAAGACCTAGCGCTCCTGTCTGCTCCCCCAAACCTCACGCCCATGCTCCAGAGCGCAGGCTGTCCTGCGGGTGCTCCAATACCCACCCCCCTTCCCCTCTGTCCCAGCAGCCGGGGAGGGGTCAGGTAAGCAGGGTCATAGGAAGGTGCCACTCCAGGGGGCTCCACAGTAAGGATATGTAAGGATAACCAGTTAACCAGTAAGCATCACCCTTACCAGGTGACACTTACTGGGTAATGGTTAACTGTTACTCGGGAGCAGCCTCCCAGCCACAGCCTACTGCAGGCAGAGGGCTGCTCGGCCCCCCATGGACCAGGAGCCAGCAGCCAGCCCCATGCAGCTGGGGCTGGGGGGCCGGGAGCTGACCAGGATCTGGTTAACCAGTTAAACATTCGGTTATCCTAATGTTTGACTGGTTAACTGGTTCGTTGGGATTTTCCATCCCTACTCCATGCTGACCCGAGGGGCGCTGCTAAGGGGAAAACGTTGCAGCGGCTGTGCACGCGGCATGTATGGACATGCACACCACGTCGCAGGCAAGCCCAAGTTTTATTTGCTTTGCAGGATGCGGTTCCCAGGTCAGCCTGGCCCCCTCTCGTGCCACGCAGGAGTTTGCAGCAGTCGGGGAATTCCCCTGGGTGGCGTCCATCCAGGACCTACAGCACAACCATCTGGCCTTTGGGTCCATCCTGAGCGAGAACTGGATCCTGAGCGCCGCAGCCACTTTTCAGACGAGGTGGGTGCCAGATGCTGGAGGAGGCTGATGCCTTGTGGTGGGGGCTTGCTCTCGACGGGGGCACAGCTTCTGGGAGGTCCTCCTTGGGGGAGGCTACAAGGGGTGCCCAGTTCCTCAGCAGCCACCAGCTGCCTGACACAGGCTAGACGGGCAGGTTTTGCTACAGAAGAGCAGGAACTGAGCCCCCCAAGGTATCTCTGGCTGCGGAGTAGCTGGGGCTGCTGGTGCCGAGGCCGCGATGAACCTCCAGTGGCACGAGGGACGGTGCTGAGCACGGTCCCATGCACACCGCCGCCGTTTGCATTGGGCTCGTCTTCCTCCCCGGCCCCTCGTGTATCTGGTCCCTGAGATCTGCCCTGGGCGCAGGGAGTGGGAAGAGCTTGAGAGGTTTCCCTCTTCCCTTCTCCATTGTCCACTGGCAAGGGACAGGAAGCTTGCGCCCAGCCTCTTCTCCTGGGCTGGTCCACTAAGCCACCGGATCCCAGCCCACGAGAGCCTCAGCCAGCTCTCTGCCTGCCCCTCCCCCACTCAGCCCAGAGAGGCCCCAACCCTGCCCTCCGATGGGGCTGCTCCGAGCGGCTCTGCGCAGTGGGGAGTCCCTCCCGCAGGCCCCAGGCTGCTTGGATCGTGCTTTGGGGCACTGCCCAGGGCTGGTGGGATGGCGGCACGTGGCCTTTTCCCTGTGCTGTGAGCCACACTGGGCCGCCACGTCACGGGCACAAAGCCTGACTCAGCTCGCGCCCCGGCTCTGCCCCAGGACAAGCTGCCTCCCGCCAGATCCCGGGGTGGCCCCACGTCCTCCGGCAGCTGCTGCCTCCGGGCCCACCGAGCTGTCGACTTCCCCCCACTGATCCAATCGGCTCCTCTGCTGGCTCTCCCCAGGCGCCCGGCCGTCGCCGTGGTGGGAATAACGGACCTGAACGCGCAGAGCGGGCTCCTGCCCCGCTACTCCATCAGCTCCGTAATCCCCCACGAGGACTTCAACGAAATCACGCTGGACAGGAACCTCGCCCTGCTGAGGACGGCCACCCCGGTGCGGTTCACTGCTGGCGTTCAGCCCATCCCGCAGCCGCCCTGGAGAACTGCTGGGTGGCAGGGTGGCTCCACCCCACTGCAGGTAGCCCCTTCCTTTCCCTGGGTGACGTGCTGGGTCTGGCTGCTGTATTGGGGGGTGGGGGGCAGCTCCAGCCAGACCAGCGGAACCGTGTGTGCATGAGGGGGACAGAGAGATGCACACGCTGAAGCCAGTCCCCTGGTTGGCTGACTCCTCCCATCTGGAGGGGTGGGCACCCTGGCTGTGCTGGGCTGAGCTGCTGGGGGCAGAGGGTGCAGGCCAGCTCAGCAGGGGAGCCCCAGCTGTTGCGGTCTGCTAGGCTGACCTGAGTGCGGAAGCTGTGGCCACGCCAGCTCCAGTTGCTGCAGCCGGGACTGGT